GCGCAGGCGGGCGGGCGGCGGATCGAGTCGGAGGCTTCAAAGCCGCGACGCCCCGGCTCTGCGGCGAGCCCCCGGGCGAAGCTGCCCGCGGCACCGCTCAGCGCCGAGGCGCGGGGTGCCCCTTCGGTTAGGCGCGGTCCCGTGTACCTGCTGCGAGGGACAGGCAGCATCCTGCCGGGTCGCGGTGGTGCTGGGCGCCGAAGAGCGCAGGGGCGCAGGCCGGCCGGGCAGCCGCTGCATCTTGGGCTGGAAGCAGCAGCGTGGGATTCGGCAGGGACGAAGGCCAAGCGCTGCCCCGCGGAAAAGGGAACCAGGGCCACAGCTACAGGATGGGGAAGCCCCTGGGCCAAGAATGCTGCACGGAAAAGGGGTCTAAGAACCCACTGCCAGGGGAAGCTGTGGCCTCTTCCTTGCCCGGGACTTTCAGAAAGCGTTTGGGCAGTCATCTGAATGGGATGGTGTGACTTCGTGTCCTCTGATAGCAGGGGACTTGGACCCAATGGCCTCCTGGCCAATTCTCACCCTGCTATTCTGTGATTCTTTGATGCCATGAATTGTGTTAAGTCACAAGCTGAATAGGAGTCAACAGGGTGATGTGGCTGCAAAAACGGGTAAATGCTGTTTTGGGCTGCATTGACTTCCGAATCACAGCTCCCCATTACTCAGCACTGAATAGGCCCCGTCTGGAGTACTGTGCCCAGTTCTGGGCATTTAGTTTAAGAAGGATGCGGACAAGTTGGAAAGGGTTCAGGGGAGGGCAACAAGGATGATCTGGGGACTGAGAGGAATGGAAAGAACTGGGCATGCGTAGCCTCCAGAAGAGAGGACTGCAGGAGAGATATGATAGCAAGAACAGGGGCTTGAAAGGCTGTCACAAAGAGGAAGGCCAGGATCTCTTCATCATCCCAGGGTGCAAGATATGGAATAACGTGCTCAAGCTACAGGAAGCCAGATTCTGGCTGGACATCAGGAAAAACTTCCTGACTGTTAGCACAGTGTGACAGTGATCCCATGACCTGGGGAGATGGTGGGCTTCTCACACCGGAGGCATCCAGGATGCAGTTGGATGCTTTAACCAGGAGTCCTGCATTGAGCTGTGGGTTGGGCCCAATGGGCTTGTGGGTGCCTTCCAATGCTTCTATGATTCTGTGATCACATGCCCTTTTTTCAGGCATTGTCCTTGGCAGCAGAGTTGTAGGGCAGGTGGCCTCCCAGAGATTCCGGGCTCCAGATGAAAGATTTGGGTCTCCAGCCCTGCTAAGCCATCCACTAACACAGGTTGTGCCCCTGGATACAGAAGAAGCTTGTGAACTCCTGCCGGGTGTCTCTTAAATTGTGTTCGTGTGTGCGCATGTGGAGGCGTCCAGTCACACATGAATGACACACTTGGATCACACCAGAAGCGGGTCCTCCAGTCCTCTGCCTACACCCTGTGACTGAGCAGAGTCGGGGAGAGGGAAGCCCCACCAGTCCATATGCTCCCAATCCCTTTCCTTAAAAAAAGGGGACATCCCTATTTGACCCCATCTCTGTTCAGTCCTTGCCTGCATATTATCCTCATTTTATTTATTTACTTACTGATTTGCTATTTGGACGTGTTTCTGAGCATTCCCACCTTGTTTGGCCCTGCATCTTTATTTCAGTAAACAGCTACTGCCTGTTAACAGTGGGAGGATGAGGCAGAGGCGGCTGCAGCCTTTCACTCTCTCTGCTTATCTTGTCGCCAGGGAGCCCACCCCTCCTGGACTCCCCATCAGGTATCAGCTGAACCGTGGCCAAGTGGCACGGAATGCACTTCTTCGACAGAAGCTGCAGGTTCCGGCTTGGGCATGTCCAGGGAGAGCTGAGAAAGACTCGGTTCCGTCTGAGATCTGGGAGAGTCACTGTCGAGCAACGCATGCGGTGCTGAGTCAGAGATGCCGGCCATCTGACTGGGTACAGAGTGGTCCCTGAGTTCCTAAACCTTCGAAATGCACCAAGACCCTCAGAGTAGCAAAGTGCTGTCACTCAGGCTTTCTTTTCCTTAGCAACAGACATTTATTAAAATTTGCAAACCAAGGAAATGAAAATAAAATGATGCTCTGAGGAAGAGAAAAAAGACCGCCAGATATGTTAAGATGTGCATCCTCTATTTTGCAGTTAACTAGGCATTAAAATGCATCAGCTGCCTGCCTGGCTGCTCTCAAAGGGTTCTCCCAATGTTAGTTATACTTAGAGTAGACCTGTTGAAATGAATGGGATTTAAGTTAGACTAGCATTGGAAGCAACTCCAAGGATGTATATTTGTAAATTTAATTTAAAAATCAACATGGTATTGCTCTAGTAGTTTCCAGATATTAAACTGGGATTGGACCAGTCAATACACAATATGAAGTGCTCCCCCTCCCCCTCCACCATGCAACCTCGCACCTTCATGGCACCATATAAAGATGCTCCAGGTTAAAATGCCAGGCCAATGATGGGGTGGCTGAGAGACAAAGGCTCCTTTTCACAAGGCAATGCAAATTATGAGTGGCAAGAGGTGACTGAAGCATTTGAGGCATATGAAGAAGGAATATGACATGTGATGGTGGATGCATCATCTGAGGAAGGTAATACTCTGCTATTGTGGCTTCCCTGAGGCTGGTTTTGATTTCCTACTACATGAGCCCAATTTCTGCTAGGTGATGGCTAGAGCACACATGGGTAGATAGGTATTTCCGCGATTGGAAAGGTATAATAGATCGGATGTTACTTTTACTGTTATTTAAAATATTTTGTGGTCACCCGGCAGGTCACCTGGCAGACACCCTCCCAAGGCAGCACTGCAATAATAAAATGCACACAGTAAAACTCAATGCTTTCTTTAAAAAGCCATTCAAATACAGCAAAGCAGTAAAGCTACAGTAAAGCAGCAAAACACAATGCAAACAGCAAGAAAAGCAATAGCAAGAGCGAATATATGAGGAGGAAGCCAAAGTACAATAGCGTGCTTTCAGAGCTTTAAACGCCTGAAATGGTAGGGTCTGGTGGGCCTGCACGGTGGGCGACTTACCCCAGTGCTATGGGGCCACTGCAGAAAAGGCAGTATTGACTTGTGGGCACCTTCCCTACTGCTCTCCTGGGTGAGCAGATGAGGTCCCCTCTTGCTGGTCTTAAAATATGGGCAAGCTGGTATGGTTGGGGGTTCCAAAGTGAGGTGTGCATTTGTGTGAGGATGAGTCTGCAAGCTCTTTTATCTGCACCGCGCATCTACACGTGCAGATTGTAAGATGGAAAAATGGAATGAAGTATACCGCAATAGATGCAGCTAAACAGTACTGTGTCCTACAGGAATGGCAGCTGGAAGTCTGCTCCAAGATGTATATATTGAAATTCTGTGTGGTGTTTTATATGTGCTTTTGGTTTCTATGCATTGTTGTGAATCACCCAGAGAGCTCTGGGTAGTATAGAAAATAAATAAATAAATGTTTCCCCCCATTATAATAATTAATCATTTCAGTGGTTAAATGTGTCTGTCTATCTATCTATCTATCTATCTATCTATCTATCTATCTATATTAGAGGGAGAGAAACAGGTGGCAGGCAGAAAGAGATACATATTCAATCCTATTTCTGCCAGGGAAAAACACACCAGAAATTAATTGTCTGCTCTCTCCTGATGTGATTTCAATGGCTGTACATTATTTTAAAAACACTTGGAGTGAGGGGATGCAGACCCAGGTGCTTAGCATGCAAATATCGCCAAATGCAGGATTTTGAGCAAGTATATTTATATCATGAATGATGTTCTAGGATACCAAAATGGCACCAAACATGTATAATCCTGTAGTTAGGTGCCTGGGAGTAAAAATGCATTGGAAATGACGGAACCTACCTCTGAGTGGATATGTATATGATTTCAACACTGATAACCTTCTGTGTCACAATGAGCTGTACATAGCAGAGGCATTTTGAGTCAAGTTACACGTCCAAACCTTTCTGCTGAAAACAATGACTAGCAGATTTAACTTACATGGGATTTGGCACAAGAACTTTTCAGCACAGGACATAGAGAAGGGTGGAATAGTTCTGCTTCAGAAAGAGTGTCTGAATTCCAGATTGGTTTTAAATTTTCAGCATGGTACCTGCAGCTTTTCTGCAGGTTTGCACAGGTTTCTCAGTCAGGCAGTCCTCAGGGTTGTGAATGTAATTCTGTTTTGTTTTTAAATCTTTACAGATTTCTTTTTTTAAAGAGCAGAGTGCAAAACCCTCCAGCCATCAGACCCCAGGATCTCCCTAGCTTTGCCCTTGTGAAGCTTTGCACAGCAAGCAGCTTATTGGCTGCATGACAACATCTGGATTTCAGCCTACTGGGAAAGAGGCAAAGCGTCTCCTGGTCTGTTGCATGGCAGGCAGTCTGATGGACCGATGAGAAGCCAGGATTGGGAAGACAGGTTTGGAGCTGGGAAGCTGCTCGTACTGAAAAGTGAGAGGGAATCTCCTGGAAGAAGACAGCTGCTGGGGAAACCATGCCATCCACATGCACTTGGATACTGATTTCTTTATCGATACTGGGTTATTGATCAAACTCACTCAGTTTGTGGATCTTTGGAGAAAATTTTCTGGGCGGTTTTGGGGCCTTTGCACATCTTAATATTTTCCACCCATCCCCATTTTCTTTTCAGCTTGGCAACATGGGCTTTTGATGGTCACCGATCTGCCGACTCTTAGATGCCCCTTGGAGAAGCTGAGCAAATGACTGAATAACATCTATTGGTGCCTTTTATTCTCTGACGACCTTCCACAGCTCAAGCTGGTGCTTGAAATAGTTCCTTTTCTTTCTTTCTTTGGGAGGAGCCCTGAACTGCACCTCAGGTGAGCGCACCTGAGCCTCCTGTTCCGCCGCAGCACACCTGGAAGGCCAGAGTTCACCATCTAGTGTGGGTGGTTACTGGAAAGATTTTACCCTGTCTGCTTCAACCCCCCCTCCGCCACTCCCCCCTCCTCCCCCCCCTCTCCCCCACCCCACCCCACGAAGGATGGGCCCTGTCCTCCTCAGGCGCGGGGGATGCCTCCTTCTCTGGATGGCGCTGCTCCTGGGGTGCTGGGCTGAGCTCGGGAGCGGCCTGGAGTTCCCGGGGGCAGAGGGCCAGTGGACCCGGTTCCCCAAATGGAATGCCTGCTGCGAGAGCGAGATGAGCTTCAACATGAAGACGCGCAGCTCCAGTGGGCTGGTCCTGTACTTCGACGATGAGGGGTTCTGTGACTTCTTGGAGTTAATCCTGACCCAGGGGGGGGCGGCTCCAGCTGAGCTTCTCCATCTTCTGCGCCGAGCCCGCCGTCCTACTCTCTGACATGGCCGTCAACGACAACCTGTGGCACACGGTAGTCATCCGCCGCAATTTTAAGAACACGACGCTGCTCATCGACCAGGCGGAGGCCAAGTGGGTCGAGGTGAAATCTAAGCGGCGGGACATGACGGTGTTCAGTGGCCTCTTTCTAGGAGGGCTGCCTCCTGAGCTTCGCTCACCTACCCTAAAAGTAACGCTCTCATTGGTGAAGGATCGGGAGCCCTTCAAGGGATGGATAACTGATGTAAGGGTGAACTATACACAGTCCTCACCTGTGGAGAGTCAGGAAGTGCGGCTGGACGATGAACAGAGTCACCTGTGTGCCAGAGATGACGTCTGTCTCAATGGTGGCATTTGTTCTGTACTCAACGACCAAGCCGTGTGCGACTGCTCCCAAACGGGCTTCCACGGGAAGGACTGCAGTGAAGGTAAGACCCTGTTTCACCCTTGTCCTGCCAGCCTCTCCCGCAGTGAAAGGGAAGATCAGGAAATGGAGACTGCATGGCTTTTCCTCTGTGTGAGTGAATCTCACAGCTGTGCTTTTCCTTCATCCATTCCATACTTGGACCTTCCGTTAACTATTCTTGCCCTACTTCCTGCATCCCTTTGAATGAAGATGTGGCCATACTTTTGAAACACAGGCAAAGTCAAAGGTTAGATGGTGGTAGTGGGTAGAAATTGTGCTTCCGGGGCAGGAAGGGAGTTGTTCTTGGATAAGGTGCACATTGTGATAACCAGAATGTTGTAGCGTGGAAGGGAATGCAGAGGCAGGTTGAGGAAGAGGAAAGCTGGAGTGTGTGGCTTGGAATCATGTTTGAGTTTTTCTCTCCACAATCCCGATCAGCTGAAGTACTAGGATTTAAACCTGATTAGTTCCAAATGGGATTAAGTCACTTTAAATGCAAGTATTTTTGTTTAACAAGTTTGTGGATTTGATTGCTGAAAATTTTATTACTGTCTGTAGGCATGGGAGGAGAGGTGATTGGATTTAGTCCTTGTATGAGGATAATGGAAAATGGAGTTTACTCTTCCTTTGTGGGGGTAGGTTTATTATTAATATCAGCAGATTGCTTGAAGTCATATCAATTATTTATTTGTTCAGCTCTTTAATGGGCAAGGAAGATGAAACGTGGTGGATTTATAATTTCATATCAGAGTGAATGCCATTTTACAATAATAGAATTAGCCAATCAATATGTGAGTTGCATGGGGACCATATACAATTGTGAAAGAAATTTGATTGGAATATTTTCAGAGGTCAGTAGCTGGAAACCAGGCAGTCAGAACGGGATGTCCCTTATTTCATATTTAAAAAATGAATTATTGAATAAGTAATGCCGGTGCCCACTCGATATGGTAATACAAATAGACTTGCACACACACGCTTCTGGGTTCTTGCAGCCGCTTTTCCATCCTTCTTAAATAAACACCAAATATTTTTTGTTGCATTTTGTTACACTTAGTAAATACACTTTGTGGATGGAAGGATATACATTTCTGCACACATTTAGACTGAAGTAAATAACCTCACTAAAAGAAAAATGGAAACAATTCAGCATTTAAAAATACATCTGACATAGGTCAGTGTTTGTTCTGTGGTACTATGTCAATAATGGCCAAGTAATTGCCTTTCCCACTTCTAATCACATTTCACTGCTGTAGAAAAAAGAGATTTTGAAGGTGGGCTTTTATTACGTAAACTTCCCATCTTTGCTGTCCAGTACTACTTAGGTTTTCCATCATTTCATACCTTTTCAATGTATCAGATCTTCTCTCTCTCTCCCTCTCTCTCTCTCCCTCTCTCTCTCTCTCCCTCTCTCCCTCTCTCTCTCTCTCTCATCTCCTTACCATTTTTAAAAGACCCCCTTTATTACATATATTCAGAAATGTTGTTGTAATAGTTCTATGTTAGATAACGGTACACTGTATGTCTGCTGACCTTGAAAGTGTATTTAAGGTATTTTTTCAGTGAATCTTTTTTTTTCTAATTGGCTGTGTTATTTGATCAATAAATCTAATCAGTTGCTACCACAAAGCTATCCAATCATCATAAAAATAACTAGGAAATAACTTCTTAAGAATCATTAACGCAGGTTATATAACCACATAAAGTATAAAAGAGCAGGATGCATCTATAGTTCAACCACATGAAATGATATTACCTCCCTTCAAATTATTCTCTTTTGTTGATGCTAGATGCATGTAAAACTCAAGCCATTTCAGAAAATTATAATTAACGCATTTAAAAGAAAAATAGCTTCAGGTAAAATAACTTGAGAGCCAGCCACATGGGTAGCCCTGTTCTTTTTAGGTTTACTCAGAAGCAGCTGCCATCCTTTTCAGTGGGATATGCTCCTGGAAAGGGTACTCAGTGCTGCAGCCCTGGCAGTCTAGCACAAGTCTTTCGTAACTGTAATGGCAAGGTGTCTTAATCCCATTTCCACCAGGGCAAATGTAGTCCAAAATGTGCAATATTACCCCTGCCTAAAAGTCCTTTCAGATAAAAGGCAACATCCCCAACCATTTATGGTGAGCTGTTATTCTGAGCTATTTGCTAATGAATAACATCTCAACAAAGCGAGATTACATAACAGGGCCGAGTAGCTCTCTGTATCGATTCATCAAAGGTGTGAATTACTTTGAGATTAGGTTACATTTCTTGTGACTAATTAGGGGAAGCACAAAAGGAACTAGGAAGGGAACCTGTGCAGCCTGCTGCCCTCATTGGACTTATGACTCAGACCAGTTATTGTGAATGGTAAGTCGTTGTCCAGAATGGTTCCTTCTTGACTGGTGGTAGGTTTTTGTAGAACTGAAAATCATCCAACGGGTTATTCAGCCATCTAGAAAACTGATGGAAGATGGGTCTATAGCCAACTACAGTCCATATTGGTTTATATGAAGGAAGAGTCTTCATCCATCCTTTCATTGTAATCATTCGTAGATGCCTAACGTACACGTGATCCTATTGTACATGCATAAGACATAATTAAATGTATTTCTGGCTGTTAAACTTAATGGCATTTTGTAAGTGAGCGTGTGTTTCTGCTGTAACCTTTCTTATAAGGCGTTATGGGTAAAAGAATTGTTAATGAATTTCTTTTCACCGCTTAGAAGTCACTCGTCATTCATTTGCAGATCAGTGAATTGCAAAAACCAAGCAAAAAAGGAACCCTTCCAAGGCTGCTTTAAATAAGGTAGCAATAGAGAGACTGGCCAAGGGAGTCATCCATTTCTCTCATATTCTGTGGCTGTTCTTTAGCATTCCCAACAATACTAATATACTCAAATAGCAGTTTTTAATCTTAATAGCCATTATTTCAGTATACTTTCCCCACAGAGAGACTTTATTAATTTTATTTGCTTTATTTGGACCGATAGCTCAAACAAAGGTTTGCTTAGAAGCAACACCCCCATTTAATTCAGTGGAAACTACTCCCAGGTAATACACAGAGTTCTAATACATAGAGATGATACATCTACATAATACATAAGAATCCTACTAGAACATATGGAATGGACAAGCCAGCTATCATTATCCTTGTTGCCCAATAGAGAATTTTAGACCAGAGCTTCCATCACGTCCAAGTGTTCGGCTAAGGATGCGACAGAGACTGCTTTGTATGTTTAGCTCCGTCATATGTAAGATAACTACACAGATGTTCCGAAGGCTGCATATTTTGCCTGTCATCTTGAGACCTGATTCTATCTTGTTCTGTAACCGGCCAGATAAAATTCTCTTTCGAGAAGGAATAGAGTGGGCAATTCAGTAGATAATGAACTGGGTCTTCTACTTCTTAGTCTATATGTGGACTACAGTGTCTTTCTACATCTCATATGAGATTTTAGTTTATCTTCCTTAAGGACCATAGGAAGCATGGTGGGAACCAGAGTGCTATAACAGCGCTCTGCAATTTACAGCTTGTCAGATCAGAGAAATAACTTTTCATCATATGTCACGAGATGAAAAAAAAAATGCAACCAAGGGGAAAATAAACACGTCTGAAGAACTGGCACATTGTGTTGCTGAACCGCATCTTCAGTTCTGGATTTAATTAATGGTTTAACAGTTTCTGGATTATAACACAGAAAACACATACCGCTGTAGCATTTTTGAGTATTTAATGTACCAAGTATTTGTGAGAGAGGAGATGCCAACAGACTGTTCAAAAATATGCTTTGTTGGCAATCTAGAGCCACCCATCCTTAATTAAGTCAGTAACAATATATTTAGAAATCCTATAAATAGAAGCCTCGAGTTTTGGAGAAGCCCTCCGGGGCTGCCATCCAGTACCGGATGGGGCTACATGCCAAAAGGGGTGAGTTCAAAGGCGAAAAGGGAGGTTTTCAATCTGTTCCAATGGGTGGGGGGTTGTACGAAACCTGGGGAGTCACAAAATGGCTGGTGGGTGAAGGAAAGGCGGTGGGGCAGGAGAGGAGTCTTCCCTTGACCCTGGGCTTCTGCAGCATCCCAGAGGGCAAGACTGGGACCCCTGGAGGCCTTGGGGCTGAGTTTCTTTGGCCCTCTGGAAGAGAGACCTGGTGACAGCCATCTATTTACTTATTTATTCTATATAACTTTTATGTACTATACTATATAGTAAAAGCTCTCAGAACTGTGTACAATCAGTCCAAACATTAAAATAAACATAGCATATCAATAACACAATAATTGTAACACTTTAAATATACTCAACAACAATTAAACAGATTAACAACAACACAATGTAACAACTAATCCACTGCAAGCTAATAATGTTTAAAAAGCAGTATAAAGGTCAGATCATCTTATTCGACAATTAAAATAGGGAAATAAAAAGGTTTTAATCTGGCACTGAAATATATACAGGGTCAGTGTCAGGCACATATCCCTGGGGAGCTGGTTCCATAGTTGGGGCTCCACAGCCAAGGTGGCCCTTCCTTACTTCTAAAGTCGGCTTATGGAGAAGGACCTTTGTAGAAGAGCGTGAAGTCCAGGTAGGTGAATATGGGAAGAGGTGTTCCTTTGGATAGCTAGGCCATAAGCCATTCAAGACTTTATACATCAGTTTGAGTACCTTAAAGCGGGTCCAGACTTCAGCTGGTAACCAATGTAGATGATAAAGAGCAGGGTTTAGATGTTTGTGCCAACTGAAGTTTCTGGATTGTTTCCAATGGCAGCCCTATGTAAAGCACATTACAGTAGTCCAAATGCAAGGTTACCAGAGCATAACTTACCATTGCTCAGTTTTGCTCGTCCAGATATGGGCGCAGCTGATATATCTGCTGCAGTTGCTGAAAGGTGCTCCTGGCCACCGCCACCACCTGGCATTCCAGGGACAATTCTGGGTCCAGGAGCACCCCCAAACTCTGCACTCTGTCCTTTAGGGGGAGTGCAGCCCCATTCAGGACTGAGTGGCTAACTACCCCCTGGACAAAGGCTCCATCT